TAAGGAGTAGAAGTAAAAAGTCGCTATAAAAATAAGTAGTAAAGTAAAAATATCAGAAAAATCTACTTGAGTACAGTAACAAAGTATTTGTACTTCGTTACTTCCCATCTCTGCTAAGAGGTCATGGGCCCGTAAGCAAATGCTGTTTCTGCTTACCGATAGTTACGCCATTGGCTTCATCTTCAATCTTTTCTCCCTGAAAGATGGAGTTGAGATGGTCCTGAACATGTGCAGCGTTCAGGCACCAGGCCAATCCCAGTCTTTATCCTCAAGTCCCGTGTCAGGGAAGGTAACGCTGAAGTAAGGTCCCATATCTGAAGCTTCAAACTTCATGTCCTTCCAAGTCTTTTTCTAAGAAAAGTTAAGCTAATGTCGAAGAGCTGAGATTTTAAAGAACAGGTGCTTTAAACTTTGGGGCTACATTTCCATGTTAATTGAACAGGTTCAAGACTTGTGCAGTCAAGTCCCAAGTCACTCTAGTCCCTGCCTCTGTTAATATTAATCTTTTAGTGTAAGGAGATTGACTTGCAACAGAAAGGATGTTTCTGAGCCTTGGTATTGGTGAAGCCGCAGGAAGCTGAGAAAGCTTCAGGTTTATTCTGGTCACCAACTGATGACCCTGTGTTAATAGTTTCCTCGGCCGCCTCTGTCGCAGGCGCTGCTTAGATTGCAGGCGGCATCAGAGCCCAGTCTGAGAGCAGCGTTATTATGTGCAGATGGGAAACCATTATGACCCTCATTTCTGTTTAATGCTCAGGTGGGACACGACGGACACGTGCAGTGTGGCTACAGAGTGAAGAGGGAGCTCTACCTCCCCATCTACCTCATCGACTTCACCATCTTCTACGTCACCCCGCTGCTCCTCGCCATCGTGCTGTATGGCCTGATAGCGCGGGTGCTCTACCTCAGGTAGGCTGGCCAGGAGACCAGGGACAGCATGGAGCCACTGGTCCTTCCTCCCTCCACACAGCCGTCCGTCAATGCACCGCATGAATGCCATTGTGTGTTGAAATGAGCTCGCTAATCAATGTTATTCAACGGTTACTATGGCAACCGCAACCTGAGAGCAGAAAACCCAGTTTCTTTATGGAGGTGTTAGTGTGAGAAGGTCAGATAGTTCTGCTTGGTAGGAAAAATGAACAAAATGAGGTATTAATGACCAATCAGGTGAAGGAGAAGCTGCAGGATTATTGCTAAGGACTGTTTAGAGTTTTTAAACATTTACAGTAATTCATAAACCTTCCATGAGGGTCCGACTGATGATCAGAGAGGAAACATCGATATATGAGCGGACTCTGATTCTGGTCTGATCTGTCAGCGCCAGCATAGATCACCGTAGTTTGGATCTGATAAAGTAGATCTTTGGTCAAAGTTTCATATAAAGTGAAAAAAAAATGTCTGACAGAAGCCGTGACGCAATCCATCTTCAGTTCCCCTCAGTCTCCATCTGTCTCCAGAATATGCCGACCTGTAGGATAAGTCAGAGTTGGGTCAACATCCGCCAAGTTTGTTCTTGATAAACCACAAATTAAGCAGGAAAGTAGAGTTGGCAGGTTTCAGGTCCTGTTTTGTGCTTAACAAGCTGATCAATGAGACCCTGGACCTTTTTTAGAGGCTATGGACACCTAGCTGTATTTGGAGATTCATTTGGGGAAATAATGGGTACATTAATCCTCATTGTTCTTCTTCTGCCTTCACATTAGGGTCACCAACTCCCTAAAAAAAGAAACTGGACACCTCATGTTTGTGCCAGCTCACCCGATTGCCTTTACCTGTTATCCTGGTGTGGATTTTTTTTAGCCCCCCTTTGTGTGTGAAATAATGTTTTTAACTATTTGACTAAAATCTGCACTGAATTAGATGCATATTTGTGAGTGACATGAACACATGCAAAACAAATAGTTTTCCAGCAGTTCACTCTGATACAAAATAAAAAACTTTGCTAAAAAAAAAATAAGTATCTTAAACATAAGCCTGTCCTGCTTAACTTCAAACTGTAAAAATGAATATAAAACAATAAATAAATAGTGCAAATTTTTGGTGCAACAGCAAACTTGTGCAAACTTGTAAACATATTTGCGCCTTCAATGTAATGACTGTAGGCTACAGTTGTAAAACAGAAAAATAATCGTTAGCTCAATGCTTAATTATGTAGTGATAGTCTATTTTTTCCACTTGTATTTCCGCTGAGCTCTTACAGGAGTGAGGAGTTGTTTGCTGTTGCTCTGTTGTCTCCCGCTATCTTCTCCGTGAGCAACAATTGGCTCTCATAAATGGGATGAGGGGATTCTGGACCGTTACATATATGTTTTCAGCTAATAAACGCAGGACAGGCTCCAGGAACAAGTTTACCATAAGTTTTGTATCTACCGTGCCCTTGTTCTTCATTTCTGTAATAGCTCCATTAGCTTTTTACTGACTATTTTTTTACTTTCACAGTAATACAGGACATAGTGCGTTACTTTTCCACTAAAGACTGGACAGGTATTTCTATTTCTAAGTATGGAAAGATTCTGTTTTTCAACCCTACTTCACACTTTCCCAGTCAGTCTAAAGCTTCAGCTTCTAGGTCATTAACATCAGGATCCAGCCTTTCCTCTGGACAAATGTCCCCAGGCAGAGTGAGGAGGACACAGGAACCAGACCATGGAGGTCCTGATGTAACGACCATCCCTGGAATCTGAATCTGAATCTGCTGCTCTAATTTGAGCCCAAATTAAGAACTTGGAGGATTTTCCTTCACTAAACTCGGCATATAAAAGTGGGAAACCCCCAGAAACGCTAGACGCTGGTTTGCACCAGTCCCTAGAATTTCTCCAGAAGTCTGGGCTGAAGGTGTCCCATGTTTAGCCTGCAGCCTCTCAGTCCAGTGGTGATAAAGGGTGGTGACCATGGTCCTCTGAAGGATTCAGTCTATATAGAACTTTAAAAGCTAGAAGATAATAGCTTTTATGAAGCATTAAGGTTCTGCTATGTTCAAGAACCACAGTCTGATTATTCCCAAAGCGGAGTAATGAGCAGCATTTGTGTCGGTACAATTAACCTAGACTTAATGCAAATAATTAGAGAGACCTTTAGTTAGGGTCACCGTGACGAATGTCCAAGAATTAGAACTAGGTGCAGCTCGGTGTTTGCTGTTAGGATGTATGGTGCTGCAGACACAGGTCCTCTGTTTCTAAATCTAAAGGTTCCAGATCTGCAAAAAATTAGAATATATTAGATGATTTTTTTTTTAAATTCCCTCAATCACTCAGTTATAATCCCGATATATATTTATCTCAAAGCAATACATTTATGAATAAAATGCAATCATTGTTTTCAATAAAAAATAGGAATCATCATTTTGAAATGGTATTTCTGTTCTAGTTTTCCTCTTGCTCTAACATACTGTTGAAGTTTTTGTTGTTTTGCTCATTATCAAGATATTCTGCTTAAATAATTTGCCAACTCTGCTTCAAGGAAAAAAATTAACAGCTATCCTTTTTTCTTCTTTCTTTTGTCATTTGAAGTTCCAAACAATAAAAGAATGCTCTATAAAACTTTCTCCCAATCAGTTCCAAATGTCACGAAGTAGCGTGATAGTTTATTATCTACAAAGCGGTGAAAAAATGGTTACTTAAAGCAAACAGAAAGGACACTGATCTGGAACAACAGGATTAATAACAGAAACAAAAGCATTAAGTTAGTCAAACCATGTAAAGTTATCCACTGTTAATCACCAGCACCGTTGGTCAATGGGGGTTAATACACATCCTGATCTGAATGAATGAAATATTTTCATTGAATACTTTGTCTGTACAAAGTTGAATGTACTGACAACAAAATCACACAAAAACCAATAAAAAAAAGTTCTGGAATTGGTGTCACACACAAAATCAAAGTGGAAAAACACACTATAGGCTTCTCCAGCTTAAATGTAATGTCCTTCAAACAGGTACTGTGTGTGGCCTCCACTTGCCTGAATGAGGTGGTAGATGGTCTCCTGAAGGATCTCCTCCCAGAGCTGGACTAAAGCATCCACCCACTGCTATACAGACTGTGGTGCAATGTGGCGTTGGTGGATGGATGGAGACATGATGAGATCAAGAGAACAAGATGGGGAGCGTTGGCCTAGTGGTTAGAGCAGTCACTTGTGCTCTGAGAAGGTTGCAAGTACTCGGTTTGATACCCACAGCCTCCCCTCTGGGTTCCTGAGCAAAAACCGTAACCCCACACTGCTTCCCGGGCCCCACACTATGGCAGCCCACTTCACCCCAAGGGAATGGGTCTAATGCAGAGAGTGAATTTCCCAAACTTGTTAGGACATTGCGCTTAGAATCCAGATTTTCTGTGTTCAAGCCCCACTCCCACAGACTGCCACTCTGGGTCCATGAGTAAAAGACCCTTAACTCCACATTACCCCCAGCCGCATAGCGGCAGCCCACTGCTCCCCAAAGGGATGGGTTAAATGCACAGAATTAATTTTGTTGCTCTGTACTTGTGGCAGTGTAATGATACATGATGTCCCTGGTGTGCTCAGTGGGATTCAGCTCTGGGGAACGGGAGGGCCAGTCCATAGCTTCAAAGCCTTCAATTTGTAGGAAGTGCTTACACATTCTAGCCAAATGATGTCTAGAATCGCTCTGCATTAGGAGGAACCCAGGGACAACTACACCTGCATATGGTCTGAAAAGGGGTCTGAGGATTTCATCTTGGTACCTAATGGCAGCCACGCTACCTCTGGTGAGGACATGGACTGCTGTGTGGTCCACCAAAGAAATGCCACCCCGCACCATTACTGGCCCACTGCCAAACCGGTCATGCTGAAGGATCTTACAGGCAGCAGATCACTTTCCACAGTGTCTCTAGACTCTGTCCCATTTGTCACATTTTCTCAGTGTTTACCTGTTTTCATATCTGAAGAGCACAAGGCACCAGTGGTGAATGCAAATGCCAAGTGTCCTGCACTGCATTGGGCGGTGAACAAAACCCAGATCTGTGGATGTCGGGCCCTCATGTCATCTTCATGGAGTCGGTTTCTAACTGTTTGTGCAGACACATGCACATTTGTGGCCTGCTGAAGGTCATTTTGCAGGGCTTTGGCAGTGCTCCTCCGGTTCCTCCTTGCACAAAGGCGGGGGTGCAATGAGCCGAATAAACCAAATAAACCAAGTTTTCATGATCTTAATGTTATCTCTGAAGTACACCCAAATATTTTAAACAGTTTTAAACACTTTAATTTCTTTAGGTAATTGAGGCCCCTATTTTGGCCCTTTAAGCTTTTCCTCTACATGAAACGCTTCTACCCAAAACATTCAAGAATTTCTTCATCAGATTCTTCTTTAATAGACAAAATAAAATCATCAGCATATACAGAAATATAAACAAAGACTAATGGCTTTTTTTATTTGACGTAATATTGGTTCAATACTTCAAGAATACAACATTCCTGACATTGCATAACCTGGTCTTTTTACAGTGAAAGAAGCATGTTAAGAATTATTGACCTTCAACACACTTTCATTGCCACAAAGGAGGGTTTTAATCAATGAAGTGGAACCAGAGGAGAAACCCAAATAGTGGTGCTCCAACCCATGAAATGCATTTTCTTGATCAACAGAAATCAGACCAAAGTTTATGTCCAATAAATCTCCAATTAGTGAAATATTTTCTCTTACTGATCTGCCGGGACACAATATGACAGCTCAGCATGTATAACTTGATCAATAACCTTTTTCATTCTGACATAAACCCTCTTCGTTTCATAAAGATCTCCCTTATAGGGAGAAAAGTGAGCTCAGCTCTAGGACAGCAGAGGGCCAGCGTCCCCTTAGCTACAAGGCCAGCCCTCTATCCCTGGAGCTTTAGCAGTTTCCATGTTCAACAGTGCCTCCTGCAGCTCTTACAAGGTTAAAGCATGCTCCCGAATA